AAATCGAACTACATTTTCGTCTCACACGGGGCCTCCATCTTTAACTCCAGTTCAAAATCGTGAAAGATCTTGGAGTGATGCGCCTATTCTATCTAGAGTTCCATTTCATTTGCGTCCTAGAGATGAATTTGACGCCTATGGGGAGTACGCCGCTTCAAAATTACGCAATTTAGATGCGAGATCGTGTATATTTATTCAGACGGCCTTTACCAATCTCATTTTTGAAGCTGAGTTGGGAAGATTCTTAAGCGAGGGTGAACGAAACATGTTTGCCAACAAAACAAAAGATATCCTACGGAATATCCCGCCTGCCAAAGACTCTGAACTTAATTACCTGAATAATATTGTATCCAATTTGACTAAGTACCATCATAATAGCCATTCCACATTCACGCCACCTGGTGTAAATACTGGTGAAGTTCCCTTAGAATTCATAAAAAATTTGCATTATATTTATAAATAACTGACGTGTATTTTTCAGCTGGCTCATCATTCTGTATTATTTTGTATATAGTTCTTTAAGTGGCTTCTAGTTGTGACCGAAGCGCCTAGGCCTTAAGTCAAAAAGGTGGGGCTAAGAAAGCTCAGCCCCCCCCCCGCTCCACCCCAATAATTTTTCGAAACTTATCAATTTTTAAAATGTCTTTTCTTTTCTTTAAATTTCTTAAAGAGTTTATTTTATATTTCTTAAAAAAAAAAAAAATTTTTTTTAGATGGTTTTACAAAATAATTTTTATACCCAGTAGCAGAAATAGTATTTTGGTCTGGAATATAAAATAATCCTAGTTTTAAGAAAGTTAAATGCAATTGAAAGGAACAATCTTTTCTTTACAGAGTTTGCGTTAACGCATTATACTGTTTTGACTACTAAACCATTATTCAGCTTTGACTAAACTTTCGAGTCCACGGTCTCCAAAAAATTTCTTAGGTTTTCTTTACATCCGGTTTTAGCTTTTAAAACATCGATTGAATTGGTAAAGAAAAAAAAATTTCAGGTGCACTAACTAGCCAAAAGTATCCGGACATCCGGTTGTTATGGTGGAGGAAGCATAATGGTCAGGGGGTGTTTAACCTGTGTCCATTAGTTCCTGTGGTCGGAAACATAAACTCTGAGATGTACGTGGACATTCTGGGCAATACTGCACTCCCAACTCTATGGCAGTATTTCGGGGAAGGCCCATTTCTCTTCCAGCAGGATAACTGTTCCATTCACACATCGAGGCTTGCTCAGACGTGGTTTGACGAAATGGGTGTTCTAAAACTGGACTGGCCTTCTCGGAGCCCCGATCTAAATACCATAAAACACCTATGGGACGAATTAGATTGCAGATTACGTGGCCAGCCAAATCGACCCTCCTCACTGCAAACACTCACCTCAGCTGTGGTGGAAGTCAATTCCTATGGCCACCCATCAAAAACTGGTAGAAAGTCTTAACAGATGTGTGCAGGCTGTCATCGATGCAAAAGGGGGACCAACATCATTTTAATATGTACCTCGGGACACTCTAAGTCCATAACACTGGGTGTCCGGATACTTTTGGACAGATAGTTTATAACTTGGGTTTACCTGGTGATAGTGTATAAGCTTTAAAAACTTAGTTTTATCCGGAGTTTAGTTCTGTTTTTATTTTAATGTAATTTATTACAATAAAAATATCGAATCTTTTTAAGGTTGACTGTTGCTGAATTTCAGTTTTTCATTTGATAAATTTAAAATTTATAACGATTTTAATCAATTCTTTTTAAATACTTTCTTTTAGTAGTACCGCTATTTTATCATTCTGTCATAGTAGTACCGCTATTTTATCATTCTTGCATTTTAAAATTTACAGACCTATAAGTGCAGCATATGAGTTCAAATATTTTATTAAACACCCTGCGATTAAATTTCAGAATTTTTCTATGGTGTTGCAAATCGATACAGAAGTTTCTGCTACTGGACTGACATATAACTAATATCTTAAAAACCATTTAAAGACTTTTTTTTAACTTTATGTTACAATGGAACGCAACAATTCAGTAAAACAAAATTAATAATTGCAACAATGTGCTTTTTTTTTTACTTTATGTTACAATAGAACGCAACAATTTAGTGAAACAAAATTAAAGTAATTTAATTGTTGCAATTACTATAATTGCAGATAATTAAAATGCAGTTTTTGAAACAAAATAAAAAATTTTAATGATCGAATATTTTTTTCCTACATTGTATAACAATGTTTATGAGCTCTTTTTTGTTCGGTCAAACCTTTTAGCATGGTTTTAATTTACTTTTGTTTCACTGTATCCAAATTATACACTGAACTCAAAACATATTTTGAATTTTATTTTTAGATTTAGTTGAAACATAAATTTTTGGAGAAATTTTGAAGGATTATTCTTTTACTTTCAGTTGTTACCAAAAAAAAAAATTATATTCATTTGTAACAGAATATCCTTTTCTTTCATTAATACTGAGTACTATTATTTGTATCGTGTGAAGTTTTGACAAATTTTACTAGAATGTGCTCTATAAAATTTCAAGAGATACTCATTTTTTTAAAATGTTGTCCTCCGACTTTAATTTATTATGTGATTCATTTACAATTTGAGACAAAGCCTTTTTGTACAAACTTTTTTATTTTTTTCTTCTATTTTTTTGAAGATCATTGTTGTGTTCCCCTTTACATTTGTCTGTGTTCTGTTGTTGTTACTAATTCCCATTGTATAAAAGTACATTAAAGTATTCATGACGATTTGCGCTGTGTTATTGTAAAGTTATTTCATAAGAAATTATTGCTGCATCATTTAATTGAAAGCTTTCATATTAGTTTCACTGAAGGTGTAAAATGCAGACTGTGTCCCTCGAATGTTATATGCACGATTTCTGATCTAGCTGGATATTAAAATTTCTTTTTTCAAATTCATTTTAATAAACTCATCCAAACAGTTAAGTGCTCAAAATATCAGAAAACGGTATACTATTAGATCAAAACTTACATTTAACAGAAAGTTACTTTTGATCTGCTAGATCAAAAGTTACTTAGTCGTACCCTGTTTCATGGCATTATCACGTAAACTAAGATGCGATTTCAGTGGCACGAAGGCCTAATCTTAAATACGCTAACTTATGCAGTTGAAATTTTGGGTTAAAAAATTTATTAACTCATCTCCGAATATACGTGCCTTTTTTCATTCATCATTTTATTTATTTATTTGATGAATTAGGATTCTTGACCCTCAGAATAAGAGAGAGGGTGGCCACAATCAGGAAAATATGGTACATGAAAATTTAGATCCCTTTTTGTGTATTTCGCCATCCCAAAGACGTGTCCCCTTGCGCAAAAGAACTAAAAAATCGATGTCTTTTAAATCTTGTTATTTAAAATTACGTAGTTTAAAATGGTGTAAAAATTTGTAAATGAGAAATCACAATGACAGTTTAATTTGACAATTAACAAACTAAGTTATACAGTTAAAAATAAATTTTTGCTAGAATGGATAAACGAGTTTTAGAATTTGAAAAAAGTATGTGATTCGTTTGAACATTTCCAAAGAAATAACAAAAAACAAAACTAGATCCGGATTTTCGGCCGCTCTTCTGATCAAGTTATTGCGACCATATATTTTAAATCTCGACTCAGTAATCCAAATCCGTCGGAAACAAAGACATGTTTATTCACAGAAAGTACATTTTTGTGCCTTATTTTGTAGCTTAAATTATCGTCTGTTCTAACTAGTTAACATATTTATGATTTGACCCTCAAACCATTACATACTAGTACAGGCTAGAGCCGTCCCAGCAAGTTCCCATCTGACTCGGATCATACGCTATAGGTTTCGCCATCCATTGATGCCTATGGTTTAAGATCTTTTTCCACAGAATCAATCCATCTAGTACAATGGTCAAAAGTAGAGCACTATAAGTTGTGAAACTGCTATAGTCGCTACTTTTTTCGTAGTTTGTTGTGTAGTGTGCTACTTTTTGTAGAAAAAGTAATGAGTACTGCGATACAGTATTAAGGCTCTAACACTTCGAATTTGAAGGGCTCAAATCTTCGCGGGCCCGTCAATGGAAGCAATGAAAATGACCTTATGGCTGCAGCTGAGCGGTAATAGAAATCACGTATTTAAAATCACATGTAACTAATTTATTAGCTAGCCACCACGAAAAATAGATAATTAATTACTTCCGTCACACTTTCACATGCGAATGCAGACTCATGAAACATTGATGTTATTTCAAGGGAACGTATTCTCGATGTGCTTAATTTTTTAGAGGAAATAAAAGAGCATAGAACGATTTAAAACGGAACGGAGCTTTCACACATATTCCATATACTGGTATGATGTTTAAAAAATGGTCCAGTTTTCAATTCAAAAGATTAAAAAATTCTCAAATTTGAAATACATGAAATTTTTGGAAAATTCTTTCCATTATCTGAGAAAAATAAATTTTTTATTATGCCAATTAATCAATACTAACAATTTTAATCAATACTAACTTTTCTAAGTCATTGTAAGAATAACATTTTTTAAAGGTAATAGTAAAATTTTTCTAATCGTAACATTAAAAAAATATATTTCAAAGATCAGTATTTTGTAATTAAACTGTTTCCCCCGTCCCCCCTTTTTCTTTTTCTAAATTGTTTGAGCGTAAAATATGAAGTAAATGTAAATTGTCAATAGTATAGATGAAATAAAATTGTTCTTGAGGATAAAAATAAGGAATCTCGTACATTTCATATGGGATTTAGCTTCCAGTCGATTTGGGAAAATTTTTAATAGTACAAATCCTTCTGATCAAAAGTACTCATGGGGGCCCACCGAGTGTTTAACTTCCATGTCACGTAGGTATGAAGAGTCTCCGACAAAAAGTCAATTTTCAAAACTTCGTATCTCAAAATCTGTTTATTTTTTAAGATTGGTCCTTTTAGAACTTTTAACTAAAACATCAAAATTCCAGANATGCAAACAAGTTTAAAACGAATACTACATATTAAATTCTTGAAGAAAGATCAAAGATTAAAATATGTAGATATTTATTTTAGACTATGTATGTAACTGTCAAAATGAAAGAAGAATACATTCTCTTTCTGAAAGAACACTGTAAACTCTGGGATAGAGGTCACGACCCCTAAGCGAAGGGAGAACGATTAAAGGATAAACAAAAGCCATTGGTCACTTTCTTATAACTATCGATACAAAACGTCACTTCCTAGGGGGAGGGTCCGAACCTTTGTTCGAGGGCTGGGATTCCCTTCACCGCTCTCTTCGGGAGTTGCGAGGTTTGGATTTTGTTTTACTATCGGACGGTGGTATAGAATAGACTCCGGGGAATAGTGACGTCACCGTCCGTGTTCAAAAGCTGCGAGGTTTGGGGTCCAGGAGAACGATTATTGAGATTCTATCCAATAATGTGTGACGTCACAGTAACAAGATCTAAACGGATTTCTAGAAAGTTAGGTTAAGCAAAAATATTTGGCTTGAACAGTTAACAAAGAAGATGCTGGCAGCCTCACTTTGTTTTGATAGTTGTGAGCATTTCGTTCGATACTTTTCTTAAATTTTGCTGTGTAATAATAACTATATTTACATATTATATTTGGCAATGAAATTTTTAAATTATTCGTGATATAAAAATAACTAACAATGCCCGGTAGTCTGTTCATTAAAGAAGAAGAAGCTTCAAATTCACCAACAAGCACTTCGTATACATCTGCTGTATCATTATCAAGTCTGAATCGTGATGGATCCCGTAGTGCTTTTTCTCCCTATAAACCTACTACTGTTTTGACAAATCTTCAACGAGGTAATGTACAAACACAAACTTTGTCTGTTTTGCCTGAAAGGGGTATTCACCAATTAGCTGCACAAGGAGAGTTGTTTATTCAAAATACAGACGATAAATTTGATGTGGATCAAGCAGATCAAAATGGATTTACTCCTTTAATGTGGGCAGCCGGCTATGGTCAGCTAGACACAGTGCGTAAGCTTATAGCCATGGGTGCTTCAATTTTATCTGTGGGCTCACATGGTGAAAACTCCCTTATACTTGCGAGTTCTTCAGGACATGCTTTAATTGTGAAAGAACTTATTAATCATGGTTCTGAGCTAGATTATAAGGACAATGATGGGAATACTGCACTCATGTACGCTTGTTATAATAACCACGGAGGATGTGTTCAAGAGTTGTTGAATGCGGGAGCAGATTTAACCTTGATAAATGAATCTTTAGAATCTGCTTTTGACATTGCTATTAAACGAAGAAGTAAACATGCTCAAGCAATTATTGAAAAACACATGTTGAATTTACTTCATTCAGATTCTGATAATCATGTGTAATGAATTTAACTTATTATTTATGCGAATAGTTCTGTAAGTTTATTAAACTAAAGATTTAGATTGTAAGTCTTCAGAATATGTTTTTAACATAACTGTAAAAGAAGTAATAAAATCTGCTCTAATTATTTATAGACAATGCATTGTTTAATTCAGGGGAGCACAGATAATTTTAGGTAGAAGTAAAATAATTTACAAAATAAAGTGTTTAGGTCAACATTTATGCTGTACTTATAAAAATGTAGGTAATATTTATATTCTGTCTCAAAGTAATAGGAAGGAGTTAAAATGCTTTATTGATGTTTTGCTCAAGTGCATAAAGTCTAATGAATTAATGCAAATAAGTTTAAACAAATATATTTATTACATTACAAATAAATTAATTATTCATTTATAGGTATTCTCAAGGTATCAGAATTTAGAGGGAATTTGCAGCACTATCTTCATAAATCTGAATTAGTCTGTGATTCCTATGCAGTCAGAGAGAGATTATTATTTCAAAAATTTAGATTTATCCAACAGATATGTAGCAAAATTTACAATTTTAAAGTGGTTAAAAATTTGTGAAATTTTAGGTTGTTTAAATGTAAGTTCAATTGTATGCAATCAGTGGTTGGAAAAACTACATTATTTTTGTAGTTAATTACAACTACTTTATTACAAATATAGTTGACTACAGCTACTTTTTTTTTTAAATGTAGCGACTACAAACTACTTAGGAGATGTAGTCACTATTTTAACTACTTTAGAAGATGAGCTTGGCTTGAGAACTTAATTTACACACATGTTCAAAATAGTTCAGAATAAAAAATTGGCTTTTTCAAACTTGATCAATCATCAAGAAATATTCTTGTATATTTATTCTTGTTTTGTTTTAGATATTTTTTCTTGTTTACATGAGTCAGTTTGTCAAACTATTTTTTATGAATTTGTTCTTTTAACCTTTATTAGTTCTTTAGATTTTTTTTTCTTCTCTTGCCTTTCTGGACAGTAAATATTGCAACGCTGAATCCGAGCATTTTTTCTTTCTTTACTAAACAAATGTAAAAAGTAGTTGTCAGGAACAAACTACTGTGTTTTTTATATCATACTACGCTACTTTCCTTAAAAAGTAGTGCACTACCTACACTACAAACTATGAAAAAAAAATAGTGACTACAGTAGTTTTGTTACTTGTACCACGCTATTTCCGACCACTTTATACACTGATATCAAAATTGAAATAAAAACAGTGTTCAATAAAGTAACAAAAATAAATTCTTTTTTTTTATGTACTTTGTGTTGTTCTCTCAATTCAGCTTTCTAAATTTTGTACGAAACAAACTTAAAAATGCTTTGGAAAAAAGTCTCTGCAATTTCTTTCATTTTTTTAAAATTTTTTTTTTTACCTTTTTAAAATAAAAGAAAGTTTAGATGAAAAATAATTTGCAGATACTGTAACAATCAGCAGCACCTTGTGCTGGGATTTTTCTGCCACTGAAGGGAAAAAGTATTATTTATAGTTATCCTAGAAGTTAATTTTTCCTATTATTCAGAAAAAGAAATTTGCTATGAATACATTATCAGATTAATGTAATGGTTGTTGTTTGTGTTTTGAAATTTTATTTTCTCCTTTTTTAGATTTTTTGCATAAATTCATAAGTAATTCTGAAACCATAACATAAAAATCACTATTGTAATAAAATGGTTACATTCTGATTTCTTTTAAATAGGCTGTAAACTAGATCAGTAATTTACTATTACAGAACATTATTGAAAAAAAAAAATTTCTGCTAAATTTTTCTTTGTTTAATTTACTAGTTAATATTTAGGATAGCTCGAGGCCAAGTTAAATGGCTTTGTGGGTAATTTTTGAAATTGGCTTTGCACCTTTGTTTAATTACTATAGGATTTATTGTAATTTTGAGCTGCATTACTAAGAAGAATGATTATTGCTCATGAACAATATAATCATGAGGAGTATGTTAAAATATACCCTCCATGATCCTTGTGATGACACTGACTTTTTGATGTGTGAATCTTTAAAACCTGTCTTGACATTGCTAAGGAAAGATAACCGCTCTACTCTCTTTTGGGCATATGGTAAGGATACGGCAGTCCTCTCAAGAGGACTGCAGCCCGGACACGAGGCACGCAAGCTCAGCCAACCAACCAGATTGGTTAGGCATCACCCGTGGCTTGTATTAAATTCTAAAAGTTACAAAATCAAGATGCAGGCTGTAACTTAAAACAGAGCAAAATTTGTTAAAAAGAACAATTGCTCCGGAGCCGCTCTTATTATAGTGCAAGTGCCAATGAGGCGGCTCCTTATAGTGAGCCTAATAAGGAGCAATACATAATTCTTGATTCTGATCACAACATCAATTGATAGCAAAGTATCCCAAATATCATTCAAATTATATGAAAAAATGAGAAATAAAATACATAAAAGTAAGGTTAAGACAACAAGAAAAAGGTCAGTAAAATTAAGAAAACAGATTAAAATCGAACAAACAGGAACAATATTAAAATAGTCTATAAAAGTTTAAAAAATAGAGTAAACATCAAGTAGGATAAAACCTCAGCGTTAAATTACCACTAAATTAATAACTGCATTGACATTGCTATTAAAAGAAGCATGAAAATAAAACTATTTTTGCATGATATAATGAATTTGCTTTATTTAGGTCTTCAAAGTTGCATCTAAATTAATATGCATAAGTTTTATGTCACTTATCCTTTAAATGAGGCTGTAATAAAGCACCATACTCTTTCATTTCAATTTTTGGGCAGTCCCTTAATCAGGGGCCCCACCAGGGTGGAAGGTGGGCGCATGATGTGCCCACTGAGAGCTTGGGGGGAATTTTTACACTAAATAAAACGAATAGTTTAAGGGGGAATTTAGAATTTTCCCAAGAATGCGCCCAAGAGCTTGGGGGGGGGGGATGGGGCCACTGCCCTCAATTATTGAGCAGTCTCTTTCGAATAATTTTAAAAATCATCAATTCCAGTCAGCAATACAATAATCATAATATTGAATTTTTAAATGATAAATTGAAGGATAATACATCAAAATCACTCTTGTACAAAGTGTTAATTGGCATATTCACTGTATTTTCATGTGGAGATTATTAATACCCTCTTTTAAAATGTGATTAAGGAAATCCTGAACTTGATTACCAGTTTTAATTAAATACCTATTGGTATGAGGGAACATTAACTAGTTGATATTGGTTTTTATTTATTATTTTTTTAATGTTACAATATTATAAATAATTTCCTGCATTAATTTAAACTGATATAAGTTGTCCGGATTGATAAAGTTATATCAGTAATGATTAAAACTTTCTGTTCTAAACAAAGTTATTCTGATATTAAAAAAGTATATTTTATTATTCTTTTGTATGAAATTTGCTTTTGTTCCACTTAATTAGAGCAAATTATATTTTTTTTTAGTTTGCTGTTTACTATTTTTTAAAAGCTGCCTGGTATATGTATACTGTTCCAAAAAATATTCTGATTTTTTTTATAAAAATGTTGTCCTGATTTTTTTGTTTGGTCGACTTCCCAGCCTTATATCTAAAAGTTTGTTGTGTTTAATTTTTATTCATGCCTGCGAAAGCAGCTGATGGTTTAAGTTGAAAGTACTAGTGTGTTTATTGCTGTGTATGAGTGGTACTAACGTCTGAGCTCTGTTTCCCACCATGAGTAAAAAAAAATTTTAAAAATCCTTTATTTTTTATAGTCTTGTATGATACATGAAATAATTATGAGTTATTAAAAAAAGTGCTTCGATTAATCTTGCATTTTTGTTCATCTTTCAAAAAAAAATATTTTCTTCTCAGGTTAAGTTCAATTTTAAAAGATTTTTGATTGAATTAATCCATATTTACGTTACATGGAGAAGAAAACTGCGAAAACCTATAATATTCAATTTAGCCAGACAGCAAGGGGACTAACCCATGATCCGTCAACCACTGTGGTCGGTGCTAGCCTGGGGCAGAATTCATATCATTCTGCCATTGATGGGATTTGAACCGAACCTAGGTTCAAGTCACCTCATGAGACACGAGTGCTCTATCCCTTGAGCCACCATGGTTTTAAGGAAATATTGTGAAATATTGAAATTTTGTAACGATATATAATCGATATTAAAATTTTGGAATTACCCATCATTATTATCAAACTATTCGGGTAAGCATTAAGACGGCTCACAGTCAAAGTGTTACTAAGCAGTTGCCTGACAAGATTATTTTTTTTTCAAATAATAAAAAAAACTCTTAGTTTGCTCGACACTAATGATTATTGCACAGTGCATTGGCTATCTAACCTGCGAGACAAATCTAGTTTTGACTGGACATTCCATATGTGTGTTGTTTGATAAAGTAATTTTTTCTAGAAAATAAGATACACTTACTGTTTTATAATAATTCTATGACTATAAAATGAAATTAATTCATTTAAGTAATTCTTTTCAGGTTTAGTTTGATTTTTAAAATTCATGGAAGAGCAGGCTCTGGAGTTATTAATATTGGGGCATATAGGATTTTGAACTTTCGTTGTTTTTAACCTAACTTGCCAATAAATGTCGCGAGTAGGTGTGCATTTAACTTTTTACATCTTCTAGAATAGTTATTTAGTGTTTTTGGTTTGTCTTCACTTGTGGTTGTTATATAAAATGAATGCATTGAAACTTCAGTATAATTTTTTCCCCTTCAGAGACAATGTTACCATTTGGGTTAATTTATGTAATAAAACTATTTATTGAATGCTGGGTTGTCATCAGATCTCCGTCTGATAATCCATCTCAATTTAGAAATTTGATCAGCATAATAAATGACACTGCAGTATTTACTAAATATTGTTATGAAATTTCTTTACACTCATGCTTATCTGTTACATGTAAGAAATCCCTTTCCTTTTTATTTAAATTGCAGCTGCAGCTACATTTTATGTAGGTGATATTTCTGATTTTTCATTAAATAATGGACATTATTTGATGGAAGTCTGTCCTAATGGGTAATCCAGCACTGGTCTCATTGACATGTGAGCAGGGCCTGATTACCGAAAAGGCACAGGAAGCAAGTGCTTCTCCTGTAAAATTCTAGGGGGGCCCCCAAATGACTGAAATTAAGGACCCAATTTCTTATTTTTT